TTACTTACTGGGGGCTTTGGGTGGGGATGCTGTAAAGCGCTTTGAGACGATGTAATGTTGTGATAATGCGCTATACAAAAATAAATTTGTTGTTGTTGTTGTTGTTTTTATTGCATTGTGGGAAACATAATCCACACACACACACACACACACACACACATCTTTACAGGGACTGCTCATTCATCCAGCCATCCATCCATTTTCCAAACCGCTTATCCAGGACGGGGTTATGGGGAGTGTGGAGCCCGGCTGCTTAGGGCAGGAATGTACCCTGTCTAGGGTGCCACTCTAGCACAAGACACATACACAGACACATACACACTGATGCATTATGGGAAATCTAGAGACTGTGTGCATGTCTTTGGACTGCAAAGGGTAATGAGGTTACCTGGAGGAACCTGAAACAACATAGTGAGAGCATGCAATCTTCACGCCCGCAGAGCAGGGGCCACATTTAGTGCTACCTGCTTAGCCACCCTGCCAGGATTAACATTTTTGTTTCAAGCATAGCAGATACAATGCATGATAGATACAGGACAATGCCCATGATGAAGCAGGACCTTTGATCATACACATACTTTTCAAAAGTGTGATCTTGACAGACAAATTGTTGCCTTGGGTATTCACACATAGAAATGCTGCATTCGGCAAAAATGCATAATGTGGCCCCAAGATAGGAGCTGAAATCACTAAGCTTTCATCCAGTAATAATACGTTTAATATTGAGAGAAGGTGCCTGGTTTTGCTTCACTTGAATTCTCTGTGAAAAGCACAAGGACTGTTTTACAGAACGAGAATACAACAACCCAAAGAGGAATCTAAATGATCTTATTAAATCTCTCAAACTGTGAATAGCAGAATATATATATTAAAACCATTCATCCAACAAAAGAATGATAAGATTTCACTATACCCTAAAGTAAGTATATTTCATATTTGTATCTGACAGAAGATTTTTTTTTTCCACAAATTGATGAGTTTGGAAGTATTGTGTGTTTGTTCTCTCACATCCTGAAAAAAAAAACTTTACTTACTTTTGCAACTTGAGGGAAAAAAACAGTTACTTTTCTGTAATTAAGTGCATTTATTCCACGTTCAATTTCAGCAACAAATTAAGTCATGCTGTGATCATTTTAAGGCTGGGTATAGGATAATAATTCTTTTGCTTTGTTAGCTACCAAAATTAATTAACGGTAATTTACTCATGCAAGATCAGAGGATGCTTTAAATTCAGTAACACTCGCTTTGAATAAGTAATGCCTTTAGACAAAGTAATAAATAGTCACCCAACAAAGCAGGATGAATTTTTTTCTCTACTACTTTAAACTTTCAAGTGATGGTTTCACTAACTGAAATGATATTTCATGTTGCAGCTTTGTGAGACAAATACAAAGGTACATGCTTAAAACAACACATCCCCACAGATTTATGACCATGCTTAGAAATTAAAGTCCTCTTACATCGGTGTACATGTTTAAAACGAGATGTCCTTACAGATTTATAACTGTGCTTAGAAATAAAAGTCCTCATCCGTTGGTGTCTAAATTTCAAGCAATAAGTCCATAAAAATTTATAACTATACTTAGAAATAAAACTCCTCATCCATTGGTATACACGTTTTAAAAAAGGATGTCCTTACAGATTTATAACTTTGCTTAGAAATAAAAGTCCTCGTACTCTGGTGTACATGTTTAAAACAAGACGTCCTTACAGATTTATAACTTTGCTTAGAAATAAAAGTCCTCTTACTTAGGTGTACATGTTTTAAAGCAGTATGTCTTGAAACAGCCTGGGGACATCACCAGCGTGCCTCCTCCCAGTGGAATACTGCTACTTCAACAGCGCTTCTTCATTGCAACCCAGAGAAAAACAAAGGGACGCCACTTCCTGAAATGGAAATACCAATTAGACGCCGGCTGGTGTGGAAGCTCAGGTGTAGCAGGTTTTCTGCCCTCAGCTCCAGCCTAAAAGATTTTTCTAAGACAGTTAACAATACCTCCAGCACTCATGAGCCCAGGGACCCTACGTCGGATTTTCACAGAAGTTCTATACCCTCGAGCACCTTGTCCTACCTCACCTGCACCCTCCAAAAACATGTGCTGGCATTTTGCACCCTCACAAAGCCCCAATAAAGTACCCTGTCGCTGCAGCCTGAACCCTCAGCTGCCCCCTAAGCCGGGAAGTCTATAAAGATTTATAACTATGCTTAGAAATAAAAGTCCTTGTATTCTGGAAAACTTTATTTTAAGTGTATAAGTTTTTCCAGTTAATTAGGTGAATCATATAAACATTCCCAGGTGAAAGATATTGTACAGGGAACCAGAATTAGGTCTGCAGAGAATGTGGCAAAGATACTGCACCTATATTGTTTGAAGATCAACAGCTTCACAGATTTGGCAAATAGTGCCCGTGATAAGAAGTGTGCAACCATGCTCAAAAAGGAAGTGGGTGCATTATTGGTAAGGGATTTCACACACCCATCCATCCAATCCAACCATCCATCAATCCATAAGTCCTTATCCAATACATCTCAAGGAACATGGGCAGGCCAAGACCTTCGGTGGGATGCCAGTCCCCCACCAAGCAGTTTTAGGAACGTTGTAAGGGTTTACCATTATCCTTTGCATCATATTTTTATTTTTGTGGAGCCCATGCATACCAAACAGCAAGCACCCCCTTCGAGGCCCGTCATGCTGAAAATACTTAGCAGAAAAAAGCTCTGCAAACACAGTTAACTTCTACCTTCTGCATCTTCTTGTTGACTATGAGCCACTTACATAAGACTTGGAAAAGCAGCTGAGCTGTTAAATTGGATGTGTGCTTGGTTGGTATTAACTACTATTACAAAAAATCAATTAGATTATCTGGGTGAGTGCTCTATATTGAGGAAAATGAAAGCACCCCAAGAACAGGCTGAACAAGCACACAGCCAGGTCACATGTGGAAGAGAAGTGTGGCTTGCCATAATGTCATAAAACAATCTATATGAGCCATCTCACCAATTTAGCTTAAATGTTGGACACAAATCAATAGTATTTTAAATTACATTGAAGCAGTGATCTCTAAAAAGGCATTGAAGTCATAATTGCATCATTATCGCAGTTTCCATTGCTTTTTTTCTTTCTGTATAAAGGACCAATAAAACTATTGAATGTAATTTGCATTTATAGCGTGCTTGAAGTAGAACTGTAAAGTCCCCTTTCTCTCACAAGCCCACATCAAGCAGAAGACCTCTGAAAATGACTGCACTCTCCCTTTAAAGCCCGCAGGAAGACAAAAGTAAAGCCTCAATGAGCTACTTTTAGGAACTTTTAGGAAGAAGATCTGGATTCATCTGCATTACATTGCAAATGTGATGAGCTGTGACTGCGATTCACCCAACATAAAAGGTCCGGGGGTAAAAAAGCACAAATTGGGCCCAATCCTGATGTCACGGGCTAGACTGGCAGTTTAATGGACTGAGTAGAGTGACAAACACTCAATCCTATCAGAGGCCTGACAGCCTGACAATGCAGGAGAGGGAACTGTGATTAAACCACTCACAATCCATTTAAAGCAGAGGCGGGCCTTACATTCGGACTGCAACTTCTTTGATTGGTGACGAGTCTTTGGCAGCCAAATTTCCTCCAGAGATGAACTGTCAAAATGATTTTCCAAAGTGAGAGAGGATGAGTGGTGTGCTGGGGGAAAAAAGGACCTTGTCAGGGCAGAGAAGTAAAAGGACATCCTGTGAGGTTAGCTTTCATAGTCGATAAAAAACTCTGGTGAAAGGACATGAGAAACACCTTTCCTATGACCTGCATGGAAGTCAAAAACACATACAAAATACAAAACGGGAAACGCTGCCTTACAAGAGGGGGTTTTTGAGCAGCAATAGCAATTCACTGGCATATTTGAAATCACAAACCAATGAAGAATTTCGCCCGGGGATCAATAAAGTATCTAAAATAAAGTAAGCCTGATAAAGTATAGCTTATCTTACCTGCCCATTAGATAATCTATACCATGTGACAATTATATGGTCATTAAATAAGTCATGCATTTTATAGTGCATTAAATTGGGGCATTTATTTGCATAAATAAAATGTTTTGTTCCTTTTGAAGAGAAAATTTATGTTGGAAGAAGCTTAGGAGCAGATGGTTTTCCTCTAAAACTGCTCTGGGAAAAGTGGAATAATTTTTTTCCCCTTTCCTCATACGAACTTTCACTGGGTCTCTTATCTACAAAAGGATTTTCACCAATCTATGACTGCTCATCCTCTAAATGTGTACGTGAGAGAGAAAGGGGTGGGGGGGGGGGGGAGAGGGGGAGAAATGATTAGTAGCGAGGCTTGCGTACAAATTAACTTCTGTCAGCACACACAAGTTTTATCGCTGAAGCTCCGAAGTGCTCATGCAGTCTTATCACAGAATAGTTTCATCTTATTGCAGTGGGTTTTTCCAGTTGCCTCTGGGTTTTAGGGAGGGGTGGGTAAGAATAGATTTCCCTACAAAACAATTCTTTATTCGGCTAATATGTTTGCCGTAGAGCTTAACGACACTGCCTGTAGCTGGAGCTAGGGCTCCAAGAAAGGGTGATAGATAATGGATCACCATTACAGAGGCTGTTTGTTAGAACTAATGAGAGACACTATGGAGGTCTGAGACAGAATAAGCAGGCCAATACAGTGCTTAACCAATACTTTGGGAGTTCCTGTAAAGGGAGCAACTTAATAAAGGCTGAGGTAATCTCCATAACTGGTCAAGTCGTATAATAATGGCTCTGATTGAGGAAGACAGGCACAGGCTATGCTCTGCGCTAATGGGAGTTTTACTTACTCAAAAAGTATTCTGAGTGCAGAAGGAAAAATGATTGGTTCAGAGAGATAACCAATCAGACTGTAGAGGAGGTAGGACTAAGACTGATTTGTTGGCCCCACCTCCTCTAGTTGCTTGGACCCACCTCCACTACAATGTGATTGGTTATCTCTCTGAACTAATCATTTTTCATTATGCCCTCAGAACATTATTGTGCAAGTAATACTCTTACGAGCATATTCTGCTAGTGTTGTGGTCTTTCTGGTCCTGGGGGTCGGTTACTGGTTAGAAGAGACTAAATGATCTTCAGATGAACAGGCAAACTTTTAAATCAACACTAACATTCATTTAAATGTTATTGCCGTCATGTGCTGTGCTGATCCCCAATGATAATCTCATTCTAGGATATTGGAGAACTTTAATATTTGCTACATTGCATTCAGTTTGTCAACCACCTTGCACTGCAAGCATATTTCAGCCAATTTTGAATATCATCTTAGCGCTTTTTGTTTTTTGCTTTTGCATAATCTCTCTGACATCTCACGCAGCCCTATGGAGATAACGCCTCTAAAAATAAATGTAACCTCTATATTCCAGCAGCCAAAGTGATAAATGCCAACAGTGTAATAACTTCCAATAATGTGATCATTTTTCCATTCTTAATGCAATAAAAGTCGATAGGCTACTGTTATAACATCGATAATGTAATAAAATTTCTAAATCAAAAATGTAATAACCTATTACATTAGGCACAAAAACATATTACATTATTGGCTGGTTGTTACATTTTTGGTTGGCGTGGCGGCCATGGTTGCAATACCTACCACCAAAGTATTAAAAATGATTAGGCAGTTATTACGTTATTGGGTGTTGTCACGTTTGAAACAGGATTAAAATAGCAATAATAAATAAATGCACATATCCATTAATAGTCATTTCTGACCCTTTATACTGGTGAAATGCGTAAGACGTAGTTTATTAACAGTAAAGGGAAATTCTTCCTTTCAAACATTTGATTTAAAATTACCAATGATATAAATACTGTATATTTCAGCATCCAAAATAATTCAGATTTAATGTGCTTTATAGAGAATATCGCACGTGAGAGCTCTATGCCTGTTTCACTTCAGGACTAGGAGGGATATATAAGGTAATAAATAATCTAATGTTTGGACTCGAAAAACGTGCCTAACCTATTAACATTTTTGTGATCCATTCATTGTTATGGGTTTCGGTAAATAAACCCCAATAGGTTTTCGGCCGCGACTCGCTGGTAGAGGACACCGGTGATGATACATTTCTAATAGCATCTAACTAAATAATGTGCAGTTGTAGAAGTGGTATCGTATTATGGTGCAGCAGACTGGAAGGAGTTAATATTTGATATTGCCGACACGCTTAGCTGATGTGCGCGTTGACATCATCCTTGTACTCCGGCTTCTCTTCCAATCCCCGCTTTGTGGATCACTTCAGCTTCAGGACCATTTCTTACATCCACACAACGTAAGCAGTAGAAGAGGGACAGTGTACCTGACCGCATCATCACAGAAAAACACCAGACAGGAGAGGACAAGAAATCCACCCGACACTTAGGCGATCGAGCAGACGGCAGGCATTTATAAAAAAAAAAAAAAAAAAAAAAAAACGTAGCAAAAGGAGCGTTTGTTGACAGGTATGGAGAGCCTGTTGGATAATCCTATGAAAGCCGTCCTCTATCTGAAAGAACTAACCACCATCGTGCAAAACCAACAGAGTTTGATTCAGACTCAGCGGCAGAGGATAGACGAGCTTGAGAGGAAGGTAGAAGAGCTGATCGGTGAGAACCGACAGCTGAAGGACCCGCACCAGCAGCATCACTACCATCACCACCACCACCACCACCCTTCCGCGCGCAGTCCCAGCCCGCAGCCGCCAGTCCTCGTCCATCAGCACCCGGTGAATAAAGCGGCGACCCTTCCGGGGCACGGCCAGCCTGCACAGAAAGTCCAGTCCCTGCCGTCACTGCCGTCGCATCCGCATCCCGCGCCGCCTCACCAGCAGCAGCTGCAACTTGTGCCCACGTCCCCTCCATCTCCGCAGCCGGGCCAGCCGAGCCCCGAGTCTGGAGAGGAAGACAAGAAAAGCCCGTGCTGCAAGTCTCTGGTCCCCCAGACACCCACCACACTTTGCAGGTCGGTGGGAATCGCAAGGAAAGCCGAGTAAGTACATTCATTTAGTTCAGCTCAAATTCGATTAATTATTCCAGAGCGCATAATTATATTCAGTTTCACGCCACAAATTCCCAGTTATGCGTGAATTAATTAATTTTTAATAACCCAAAATATTTTTACTTTTGCACCGGGTTATTAACTACCGAATGTTATAAATAAATTGTTTCAAATGAAACATCTGAAATACATATTTTCCGTCTAGCCGACATACGCTTTAAAATGTTAAAATTAGCATACCTAACAAAACGTGCTCGTGGCAAGGATCACATGAACTGGACGTTCTGCTCTTCAGTGCTTTGCATCGAGACATCAGTTCAGTCCATGAATAGTAACAGCAGTGCAGTAATAATAAAACTTAAAAGCCTTATGGAGCATGACCCATCGTAGAACAAGCTAAGCCGTATGATAACATCGACGCTGAAATGTTCTTTTATAGCCTATGATTTTTCATGCACATTGGGATGTGTGGATTAAAAAATATTTAAGTCTTGCTTCAGCAGTTCTTTTAGTGTAGGTCAAACTGAGAAATGACCAGGGTATAGTGAATAATCGACGAGGCTTACTTTCAGAAGAGTATAATATTTCTACCTAGTGTTATTAATTTATTTTATGGACGTATTACTAGCGGTTCATTTAGAGGTGACCACTTCCAACAAATCTGTTCCCGTGCGTAATAAACTAACGACATATATGAATAGCATTTATAATGTAATGTTTTTGTAATGCAAATGCATTCTTGGATTCTTCATGCATGCCCGTTTAGATGAATGAATAGCAATTGCTTTCTGAAATAAGAAAATAAGGAAAATAATATCTTTCTGCATATACCATGTTTGAAATAGACATGCCCCTATTCTGTGTTACCTTGCTGAATAAACACCTGATTACACAATAGCTGTGTGACATTCTTTTAGCGTTGCTGTTTATGAAGAAATGCCTGAACATACACAACAGCAGCACTTGTACTATCACCTACAGATGTTTCCTTTAACTAGCCTGTTTGTTATCTTAGGTATAGTCCTACATCTCTTAAGAGTTGTACCTAACGGACGCATAGTGCATGAGGAAATGCTGGACCGGGGAAGTCAAGAAGACAGAATAGATGGACTTTGCGATGACAGTGCTGATGAATGGATTGATATTAAAGGGAAAATCTCAACTCACATACAGTGGGTTGAGGCTGCTGAAGACAATGTCCCTGGGTTCACGTCATGAACTCCAACATGAACTCAACACTCAGCTTTCCTCTCCAGCCCCTTGCACTTTGTTCATGATAGTTGAGTGTAAGATTGACCGCAGAGATCGTACTGTTGGAGACTGTTTGAAACATGTCTCCTATGTCACACACTCCTGTTCTAAGGGTGGTGGTGATGGTGGGGGGATTCTTGGTGGGCGTGTGACCTTCTGCTAGATATGGGCAGACGTGTTGGGACACACCAATGGGAGTCATGATTGTTTTTTGTGATGCTCTGCTACCTGAAACATGCAGGGGGGGGGGGCTTTGTGGGGGAGTGATTCTCCCCTCTTCAGTATGTAATAGTTGTGGAGATGTAAAACCGGTATCCTTGTAATGGGCAAGGTATTACAGGGAAGGATTTCTTTTTAATATCAAAATCCCAGAATTACAGTACTTAGATTATTTATTGATCTAACACTATAAGTGAAAACCTACTTTACTCATCAGAAGCATTATAGAAAAAAAAAACTTAATGAAACTATTTATGCTGGGTAATGGATACCTGGTATTGGTGAACGGACCATCGCAGACGTGTAGTTTTATAATGATTAAGAATTACAGACTTGTTGCACTGGATTGACAGTTTGAGTGTTAGTCACTGCACACTGTGTTATAGAGACTGAGCTACAGCTGTGAATGGGGCATGTATTATATCAGGGTGCAACAAATTGTCAGCCCCAGATTCTATAGTGATGGGAAATCCCCCTGCAAAGGAAAGCCTCATGTGAAATATTAAAATGTATCAATTATCATATAATGCAGATATTATTGAGATGACAGTCAGTGCTTTTGTAAGCCTACTAATTCAGGACACATTTAACATTGGTGACAGTGTGCAGATTCCAATCCCACACACTGCTCTGCAGCATGTGGAGAGATGTGCATAGAGCCTGCAGAGGGAACTGTCCAAGGTTCTGGTTCCTTCACTGCTGTCCTGTTCCCTAGCTCACATGACCTGCTTCAGCAGGAGCTGAAGCTTACCATTAGCAGGAGGGCGACGATAATGGCACGTGGTGATAAATAGCAGCAATTTTGGGCCGGCCAGCATTGTGTTTTTCATTTAGTGCATCGATCGTGGTACTGTGCCATGTTATTGGCTTAGGGAGTTTAGAGTACATATGTATCAGTGGAGAGGACGTGAACATGTAAAGATAAATGCGAAGCCTCTGGCTTCACGATAACAGCACCTGCCAATGATGGAGTTTCACATAGAGGAGGATGATACTGACATGAATTGTCTCCTACTCCGCTCCGCTGATCTGTGAAAAATAATTGGATCGTAACAGATTGCTTTTCAAATGCTACATAGTTTTTCAACAAATGTTTTTTTTTTTTTTGGTACAGGAATGGAAGTCAGGAGGGGCTGTGTTTTAATAACGACGCCAAAAACACTATTGAGGCTCACTTTTATTTTCAACTAGGCACATTTAAAGCTAGCTGTAAGCTTACCTTCAGGAGGGACGCTGTTTTCGTTGTCTACCCAGCAAAATGCCTTCTACCTGGCATTGCAAGCAGACCTCCCTTTGCAGATTTGAGGGGCCTCAGCCTCTACACAGAACGCAGGCAGGTCTAAGCAGGTATTTAAAGAGTTTCTTGCCAGGTGTTTCAGTGGGACGTGAGGTAAGCTTGATGGGCAGAGGACAAAGATGGGGTTTAACTTGACTCACATGTGGAAAGTAATGCACAGCTGGTCCTCTGCATCCTGAGGTGGCTGCTTGGCTCAGTATCAGATGAGAGTTTTTTTGGCTTTGAAAAATGCTTTGTTTGGCTGGATGGTGAACAGACCTACGGGATGTGAAGACTGGAGAGTGGAACAGGGCGATTTTCTTACGACCCTTGGGATGGTACAGGCAGGCGAGTCAAGTAACATTCCGAATTACTGCTTTGCTCTCTAACCCAGACCAGCATGGCGTAAACCCTGAAGAGCTGGACTGTTGATCGTGGGCATCCTCCTTTTTCTTTACCGCACAGTGAACTGATTTTGTTATCAGTACAGTTACTTACACAGGAGCTTGAATCACGACCTAGAATCTCAGCCTTGAATATTGAACCTTGAGTATCAAACCTTGAATCTCCAACCTTGAATCTTTAACCTTGAATCTCCAACCTTGAATCTCAACCTTGTTCCTGGTGAGACAGCCATAGCCTCCCCATATTTCATTGAGAGGTGGCAGGGAAGATAACGGCATCATCTGCATGAAGCTAAAGCGCTATGCATTTATGTAGAGCCTGGAGTGAGCAATGGATTGAGCATCAGAGGTATTGTTAAATTAAGAAGCAAAGATCAAGTAAATAATGGTAGAGTCAGGTCTGGTTTTGACACTACTCAAGTAATTAGTGAGCGAATCTGTTTCCCGGCATTGCCTGACTCTGAATCCCTGTGTTATGGCTTCAGGCAGATTGTAGACATCCCTGGTAAGCCATGGTCTCCTCATTCTTTTGTCAGAGTGAGCGTGCCGATAATTGAATGCTTCATACGTACTTGTACTAAATAGAGCATGACAACATATGCTTCTGCAATGTAATTGTCCTTTGGGACGAACTGCAGGGAGCCGTCGGTCACATGTAATTCAGAACTGTAAATTCTGTCCTCTGCCTCGTGAATGGAAGCTTCTGGAAGCATGCTAATGAAGCCCGAGCAATACAATTAATTGAAGAAGGTGACTGAGTTTTTCCATCTCATGCCAAACTTTCAGAGGCTACCTGAAACATTCCCATTGTTTAAGAAACTGAATCTCAGAAAATAATAGTGTCGGGATAAGAAGTCCCCCCCCCCCCCCCCGCTGAGATGGTGTCCTGAGAGGGCACGCTGGGAGACATATTGTTCTGAGTGGCCCTCTTCGTCGGATGAGAGTCCGAGTGCGTGCTGAGAGCGGCAGTGATCCTTAGGGGCTGTGAAGACTGGGTGAGAAAATATGGCATCGGCAGAACCCCCCTGGTGTGTTTGTCCGGGAACAGGCTGCAGCCGTCACGAGGGACACACCTCGATGCCCCGAGCCTCCCGCTCTTCCCCAAAGGCTCCCCTACTGTTGATGCCAGGCTTTGTGTAGGGTGGACATTCTGTTGGGTATCCCTGCTTCCCCTTCCAGCCCTTTCTCTGTGTACTGTTGTCCATTCATGTGGCGCCGTGGGAGACCAGCCCCTCATTTACAGATCAGTTGGCAACCCCCCCCACCCCGCGCGTCCTTGCAACCCATGATGTCTATGTGCCTCAGCTCTGGTAAGCTGGCCCTCATACAGTGGGACTGCTGAGAAAACAACAGCAGGAGCTCATGTTTCCCCTGAGGGAGTCCTCTCTGTCTGATCCATCCTCGGATCTGCAGCCCACGTCGACCTGAGGTTCCCCAGGCTGGCCGGGGTACACAGTGCTCCGATAATTACCCGTTATGAAATGAGTCACATGTGCGTCTCACCACGACGATCACACTTTACCAAAGCTGTAACAAAGGCCGTTTCCCACAGTGAAGGAGATGATTCATTCTCGCCATCCATTGTCGGATAAGAAGATGTCAGCGCCTGTATTGTTCTTTTGTTGCACAGTCAGAAGTAAAAGATGCATCTCTTGTCCCCATTAATTTTGCACCTTGTTCAGCCTGTTATGACAAATGGCATAACCTGTGTTATAGGGGCAGAGACGAGGAATATCACATGTAGCAATTTCCACGTTCAGCTTGCCAGTGGTTTCAGCGGTGGCACACAATGCTGTTATTCATACTCAAAAGCTGTGGCCCCTTTTAGCACACGTTCTGCT